GTCGCCAACATACGCACAAACATTGGTGGTGTTGTTTTATAATTGGTAATTTTGTCTAATTTGATATTATTTACTAGTTTAAAAGCTTAAAATATAACGTATACTTTATGGACATATCGTAAGTAAGACACTCCGGCCGTTATAGTGCTTTTTCGGTTATTATTTTTGCAAATTGCAATTACGCACTGCGGCATCGTAAGACGTGAGCACGTTGGCCGTGTTTGGAGCATACTAAACAAAATAAGAGCTCACTTCTCAAGTGAGCTCTTATTTGTCGAGACGATTTTCTTGCGCCGACCCGATATCTAGTTGTTATTGTTGATCGAAGAGACAAACGCTAAAGTGGCGTTTGGCTACAGCTGCTGATATGTACGGTGACAACGCGCAATTTATGTCCACAGTGACGTTAATGTTGACAGACATGTCGATCGAAGTCCGGCAACGTCGCGTTACTTCACCCAACGTCTTTGATGACACGTCGCTAGTTTATCCTTGGCTTTACCTATATGGATCTCTTTCAATAAGTTTGTTGTCATACAAGAAAATTATATTTCAGTATTTTCAGGCATTGTAGGTATACCCTTCCACTACGTATACACAACTAGATATCTGGTAGAAATCACTATAAGTGATGAGACCGCCTTTGTGACCATTATATTTTTTTTATTTATGTTTGGTACTTCCTTTTTCTGTATGTACTATATTATTAATGGTGTACAATAAAGATTATTCTATTCTATTGTACCTCTAGATAATGGAACGTATATTCAAATTCGTTACTCCGAAAACACAATGTCTTATATCAAATTGTCTAGTCTAGACTAAAATTCCTCCAATACAGACTTAAAGTACACAATACACATGTGATGTACCTACAGTACAGTACAAAGTTGAAATAACATTACTTCTACAATTCCCGCCACCCTTTTAACTTATTTCAAAGAAAGTATTAACTTCTTAAAAACTTTTTACAAACTTACCTAATATTTGTTTCAGACGCAAAACGAAGAAGTTCTCACCGACCTTGGACTACCCTCAGACCCCGAAGATGGTGATGCACACAGTCACGAGAACTGCTAGAAATAGCGAGTTTGAGGTATGTACTTACAAAATATCACGCCTTTCATCCCCGGACGGATAGGCAGAGGTGCACATTACAGCATTTAATGCCACTGTACAATGTAACTCCTACTTTTCACGATTTATGTTATAAGTCCCATGTGATAGGGGGTGAGCCTACTGCTATACACCCGGCACAATTCCAGACTCCGTGGTCATACTGGGACTTTTTTTAAAAAACCCAATAATATTTTGCCTGACCCGGGAATCAGATCCGAATTCCCTTGCCCGGCAAGTCGCACTTGCGACCACTCGGCCAAAGAGGCAGTATGTACTTATCTTAGCTATTTATTAAAAAGTTTCTTGGATCGTGCAGTCGAAATCTCGAATGGGATGAGGCTGCTATTAGTTGGGTACCTATTTTTCTATTTTACTTATGAGGCTCCTCCATGCCTCAGGAAATAAATCCTGGAATTTTGGATGATGTAATCAACACGTTAATAAGAAAACAAATGTTAAATCAAAAGCTACGAGCTACTTCATAACGGTAATAGGTTGGCTTATTCAATCTCAATTTATTTGTTTCAGGACATGAGGAGGCCCTTCATAGCGGCTCATTTCCATGGCAACACATCACATTTGAGTCCTGAAATACACGAACATTACAAAGGTATGTACATAATTATTTACAACACACGAATCCTTTAATTCCCCCAATTTACATATACCTACATAGCACAAGCACATAAAACGGTACCAACCTTCAAAAGATTCTCGAGTTTACTACAAAATTATAGGGTTGAAATTCTATTGACCTGTTACTTTTAACCTAGACATGTACCTAACTAAATAATATTCTAAACAAATATTGCGTTATGTTTGCTTATATTGCAATAAGCACCAAAACTAACGAATCGATTTTTTAAATTCATTCAACATCACGCCTTTTATCCCCGAAGCCAGTAATAATTTGCCTGACTCGGGAATCGAACCCGAGACCCCTTGCCCGGCAGTCGCACTTACGACCACTCGGCCAACGAGGCAGTCATTCAACGTTCGAAATCTTACTTTTTCGGGAGTAATAAAGACTACTTTTTGTCCTTACATTCCCACAAAACTAGGATCTATTCGAGAAAAATCTTCTAAATTCTATTTCTACGTAGAAAAAACTACAGAAGCAAAGGCAAATTAATATTAAAACAATAACATCATACTACAAAATGTGCACGTTTTAAAACCCTTTAATATAGCTCCCAGACACGAACACAGACTCACATTAATAACATACTTAGTCTTAGTCTAAGTCTAGAGAATATTAATAAAGAAAATCTAGTTCTAGACTTTAAGACAATAGAGCAGACGGGGGAATTATAATGTCGTAAATATTTATACGAAACAAGATCATTAATTATGCTTTCTATCTCTCTTGTTGTTTCTAGAATGATATGGTGTCTTGTTTATTATTTGTAGTTATTTTGAAGTAAGTAATAGTCCTCCGTAACTGATTACAACTCTTTTATTGAAATGAAAAAGTATTACTTGTAAACTCATCAACTACGTACATCATATCACCATCCACAGAGAGGGAGAGAGAGAGAGGAAGAGAGGGAGAGGGAGAGAGAGAGGAGGGGGAAAGAGAGAGAGGAAGAGAGAGAGGGAGAGGGAGAGAGAGAGGGAGAGAGAGAGGGAGAGAGAGAGAGGGAGAGAGGGAGAGGGAGAGGGAGAGAGAGATTTTGATGCGGCTTTCAAAACAAATGTTTGTTACAGTTTGGAGAAGAAGGAAGAGAAGAAGAGGGGATTGAAATCGATTTTTTTAAACGTACTTTATACAAGTATTAATTATTAAATGCATTAGTCAATTTCATATCTGCCCACATGTTACACAGGCATGTTATGATTTTACGTACACCTATTACTTCTTAAACCTTAAACGTAGGTAGACAAAGTCTCTAACTAACTAGAATGTTAGTAATGGAAACCTTATGAAATAGTATTAAACGGAGATAATTAAAAGACGTGATTCAACCTACAGTAACCCACTTCAACGGCTTCTATAAGCTCTTTTAAAAAATCTACTATAACTAATCAATTCACTATCATAACTTTTTCTAATAATGTGTTTATTCACGTTATTGAAAATCTAGGAATTAAATTACACCCTTATTACAATGAACTAGAGTCGGTTTTTAAGTATTTCTGACTACCTAAAGACCTTTGCTTTTTTACAGTCCGGTTTGTAGGTCGCTGTCCGTTTTTCTAATCGTTTTTGGGTCCGCTATAGTCTAATAATTAAATTATATTACGAAAACCTAAATGTTAAAACAATAAATGGTTTTCTATTCAAAACGTTGTTTTCGTGACCAGAGGGCTGGTCTTTTTCTCGGTCAGAGGTTAAGCATTGCCATACAACGTGGCAATGCTGCCACCCTTCTGGGTAGTTTCTCCACTGCCGTCGATGCAGACAGATTTTTCGATGCTTTATGTAAATAGCTATTTTTAGTTTTCCTTTATTTAATTTTTATCTTAACTTGTATATATTTAGTAATAGTTAGTATTTATTTTATTTATGCAAATGATTCATATGTAAAAGCAGGTTACTACTATAAAAAAACATTGATTTTTATTATTAACCTTATTTATTTTTCCGCTAATGGAATCGCTTGCGTGATATTTTCAAAGGCCAAGAAGACGATAACATATAGATACGCACCTGTTTTATTGTGTCTTCAGTGATGTGGATTCAAAGCACCTATTTATGTTATTTAAGCTCTACTCTCCGTGCAAAAATTGAAATCACATTAGTATTAGTCGCATTTGTAGCAGACAGTGTTACTTTTACTAATTAATAAGGACTGGGTCCTTACCAGAGGCAAATATCGAGTTTACAATACTCCTTTATACCTACTACATTTACTCGTCCCTTCGGAGAACGCGTGGGCGTACCGTGTGATGTTATATCAGCTTCCATTACGGAAAGTAATTAATTCTAAATCTGTTATTTCCAGGTAACGGTCTAGTTCGCGTGTCGCATGGCGCTGCTCACGATGTGTGGTATCCTGCACCCTGGACGGTGGCGTCACCACATCCCCGGCCTACACTCACTCGCAGCGGACATGTGCATGTACACCACACTGGTGTCTATTTAGTCTATGTACAGGTAAGAAGCTATTGTGACTCAAAGAGTCATTAATTAATTTAAAAAAACGCGTCTAAAAACTCATTTAGTACTTCTTCTAATGAGTCTAAAGATGTTTCTCTGAGGTATAAGTGAATATATGATATACTGACACAAACGTAGGGACTGATCTTAATGCGGTTTTGACAGAAACAATTCATTTTACAATTATAAATCTCATCTCAAAATAGATAGCAAATATCTGCCAATGCAGCTGGACAAAAATGCTGCTAAAAGCTAAAATTCGAGAGTACAAGCATGTCAAGGACAGTTCGATTTGCCGCGCTTTTGCACGACGACGGCATGTCACCATTATGAAGCGATCACAAATGTCAGATACGTAGCTAACATAATAATTATTCTTATTTAATAGCACGTCATATAACAGTTGTCAATCAAGTTTATATTATATGATAAGGTTTGAGTTCCAATGGACCTTTGATTACGAAGGTCTACCACGAAAATTGGCTAAAGTTACTAATCTGTTGAAGTGTAGTCAACTCAAGAACCGTTATGAACAAAAGTTACGTCATATAGAACAGGGTACAGACATCGTAAAGGTTCAAAGAGGTCGCACATTCAACAGGTAGGTATGGTTCCACAATCCTAAGAGCCTTTCGTATTTATCGTCCCTGGCATTGAAGACCGACTTATTGTCTGCCCCTTTTAAGCCCCAAATGGCCTTAATACGTGACTGTATTTGATAAATTCCGTTTGAATTATATGACGACTTATTTCGAGATGTGTTTAAAGCTAGTATCTACAAGTTTTCGCTTCCATAAATTCTGATTTATAAATGAACAAATGAATACATTGTTCGCAACTCAATTAATAGGAGCTCAGAAATTCATTCCAAGTTCTAATACAAATAAACTAAGGCATTAAACAATTCCCAGGGTCGGCAGATTTATCTAGCTTTAGTTAGCTTTGCCTCCTCCGTACTTTAATTCAGACTAACTTTTTGTTGTCTTGTAGCTTGTAAATAAAGGAAGGATTCCTTAAACGACGAATTACTTTACAACCAGTTTTCTATTACAAAGCTTTGTTCTTGAAGCAAAGTGGAGCATCATTTAGCTCAAGATAGAATTTTTGTATCCTGACCCTGTCTCAAAATGCTAAACGTGTTTCTTTGTTCACAGATTTACTATCTGGACAGTCACGACGTAATCTCCTGGGTGCTTCACCGCACGAATGCCGACATTGAGGGTCGGGAAACGCTACTCCAGTGTGCTCAGTCATCTCACTCGACGGAACAAATCGACAAACCGAACTCTTGCTTCTCAGCAGCTGCCTTATTTCTGAAGGCTGGTGACAGGCTAGCAGTCAGGAATACAGGAGGAGACAGGCACTCCTTGATGCAACCAGAGAAGAGCTTCATTGGATTGGTGAAGCTAGCGGATGCTGAGGATCCTACCCAAGAGCTGTAGACTCTCTACCTCCAAGTTCCACCAGTTTTTAGTAACTTTGTCTTCATTAGAAACTTCGAATTGAGTCAATAACACCTAAAATGAGGATTAATCGAATGGAAAACGCGAAATGTCTTTCCTCTAATTACCAGACTTAGTTCGTTACAAAGTTACTCCCGAACTTGGAACATTTTACTCCTAACTTGATGTTAGTAATATATGTCTGAATATATTTGTAAAAAAACTTTACAAATGTATTGGAAAGTGATAATATTGTTATGTTAGTCAAGAAAGTGCCATTGTTATGGGTTACGAAGCAGTAATTAAGTGTAGGAACAAATGAATTAGTGTAAAGATTTAGTATTGGCATTATATTCAAACAGATTGTCTATAATTTACGATGATGTAAATTTTTGTACTAGCAACACATCGACAGTCTTGCCTTATTAAAAAAACAATGCAAACTCTTTGGTACATTTTTATTGTAATGTTTTAAATTAAATATTTTTGTGTTTTTAATGGTGTTGAATTATATGTTTACGTGTATTTAGTTATAGGTATATCGAGGAATCGAAAGATCTGTTATACCATTGATATTATAAGTACCTACCTACTAACGTTAAAAATTAAAATAATTTATTGTACGTACATACATAGGTATTCTTATTTAATACTTATAGACGTTTAAATGCAATCGCATTTTTGATATTCATTCATGTTTTGTAAGTGAACAAAATAAATCTGTATTAAATATATCATTTGTATTTTATTGCAAACTAGTGACCCGCCCCGGCTTCGCACGGGTGCAATATGCATGTATTATACATACAAACATTCCTTAAAAATCACTCTATCTATTAAAAAAAACCACATCAAAATCCGTTGCGTAGTTTTAAAGATCTAAGCATACATACGGACATACAGCGAAAGCGACTTTGTTTTATACTATTTTATTGCAAATATTACCTCGAATTACATAACTTTACTAAACCAAAGCTGTTACAGTTACAGAGTAAAATATAAAACAGTAACAAGTCATAATGATGACTTTCTCTTCTAATTACCGTATTAAAAAAAGTAGCAACGGCATTAATCGCCAGTGGCGCCATCTAGACTGAGCAAAAATTCAGAAATCATGATTTAAATAAATACAAATCAAACAACCTTCAGGGTTTTAGTAAAGTTGTAATAAATCGATACATATGGAGTGTCTATAGCAGATAACGAGTATGATATCAGTTTAATTACACCGCTGATTAGACTTGTACTGTTATCGATACCTGCAAAGTTTGTAAGTAGACATTATTTGTATTGATCGATATTAAATAAAGATAATAGACCTCCTGGAAAGTTACAGTAGAATGGCTTTTGAGTTAAACTGGTGTTAGCAAGGTAAGCCGATAGATTGGTGGACGTATTTGACATTTTGAGATATGGTTTTGGAAAGCGAAAATATCGAAATCTTGACAGAGGCCCTCATTTGAAATGTTCTACTATCATCTAAGAGTTAGACTTCGACGATTGATGCCCCGGAGTTGTAGTGGCTCGAATTTTTGAGACGCCCACTTCTCATGCATGAGGGTTTGAAACGGCAAGAACTAATGTGACATTTTATATTACTTTCTAAGATTATCTAGACACCACTGACAAACGGTGAAGGAAAACATCGTGAGGAAACCTGGGCTTATTATTTCCAATTATAAGTTTGTAATTGCCAACCCGCATTGAGCAAACGTGGTGATTAATGCTCAAACCTTCTCCGTGAGAGAAGAGGCTTTGCTCAGCAGTGGGCATTTGTAGGCTATTGATGATGATAGTTATTGATGGGCGGATTACCATGAAAAGTTTTATATAATTAAATTATTTTAGCAAAAACGTAGACAATATCCTAAGTAGGTCAGATCGCGAATTTTATCACTTATAAAGAATCTTGCAATAAGTATGTTATACAAAAGCAAGTACCTACCCACTTAGACCTGCGAAACCTTAACATTCTAATAAACAACTAAGTCGTATTCACTGAAGCAAACAGAAAACAATACATTTCCCTACCCTGTTCCTACATAAATCCTATCCTAAATTCCCTAGACATTGTCTCTTTGACCAGTCACACGAGGACATTCGAAAGGTATGTTAGAAAGGATCGAATTCGCAACGCCTGCCTCGCAATTTATAACTTTTATGAAACAAGATATTTCACTGACGGAGCTAGGATAAAAGAGGCTCACGTTTGGTAGAGAATTTTTATAGAAAATTGAGGATGGTACAGGATATCTTTCGACTGGTAAGTAGGGTTTATGACAAAACATGAAGTATAGCTATAATTGTGTGCTCAAACTATCTCCGTGTGAGAAGAGGCTTTGCTCAGCAGTGGGCATTTATAGGCTGTTGATGATGATGATGATGATGATGACTTGTGATAAGTGGGTGTTACATTACACAATGTAATGAGATGCAGATGATGAGAAGATTTTGTCAAAAATGCACATTGCACGGACACACGTATAATGTGAATCTGTAACTAATTCGGGTGGCGAGCTACCGATCTTTCAGAATAAAAAGATAAGATGTTACAATTTGTGGCCACAAGAGCGCAGTTGCATCAATGTTAGATCATACAAAGATTCAATTTTACGATTAATATCTTAACCGTCTACGTTATAAAGAAGTATTACTCACATGATCTCCTATAATCCTCACCAACACCATAGTTGTCTCAGTCACTACATAGTATAAAACAAAGTCGCTATCCGTTTGTCTGTCCGTATGCTTAGATCTTTAAAACTGCGCAACGTATTTTAATGCGGTTTTTGTTATTGATAGAGTGATTCTTAAGGAAGGTTTATGTATCTAATCCATGCATATTGCACCTGTGCGAAGCCGAGGCGGGTCGCTAGTAATATAGAGGTAATAAATTCGAAAGTTTGTGTGTTCGTGTATATGTTTTTTTCCTCAAACACGTCAAAGTGGCTGAAGGTGTCAGGATGAAATTGGAACAAGTTCGGAAAAACACATAGATAAGTAAGGTACTTTTTATTGCACACGGACAAAGCCACTGGCAGAACATAGTACACCAGAAGTTTTATAACTAACACACGAAGCTTCACAATATATTTACTTACCTAAAGTAAAGATATTTACTTTCTTTTCAAAGACCTCACAGGTAAGAATAAGACGGATAGATAAATACCATTCTGCTCATTGTTTTATTAGATTTAGGCTGCGTTTCCATTGACTGAGCTGGGCAGAGAGGAGCGGTGAAAAGTGGTCAGTGTTTCCACTGTAGCGGAGCGGATTGAGAAGGAGCATAGCGAAGCCTACATATGGAATCGCGCATTTTTGCGCTTAGTTATAATGAACCATCAACAAGTTTCAGAAACACCATACGTCATGTTGTCGTTTAAAAGAAAAAAGGTATCATAATCAAAACGAATCAGATGCCGTAGCATTGACTGTTGCACTGTTGACTGTATTTTTATTATGAAATTGTTATGAATGCTGTTTCCATTGAAGTGGAGCAGAGATTTCGACCATAGTGATTGGTCAATTCGTGCATCGCTAAGTTCCTCTCCGCCCCGCTCCACGTAAGTGGAAACGCAATCTTAGCTTGTTAGAGTAGTCCTGGATTATTGGATATAAGTTTATGTTTATTCTTTTTGTCTAGAAGTAACACAATGTTAGGGTTATCATTATCTATTCAATAGTAAAATAGGTATGAGGTCTTTTTATAAGGGGAGAGAGTCTTCCAATGACTTCTCCTGCCTTGGGTTAGGCGAGAGGGAGTGACAGACTCTAATTAACTAAACACCACCGCGTTCCTATTCGAGCCAGAGCCCCGGTAACCCGTTAGGCCGAGGCGAGTAGCGCGCTACCGAGGTATACTAGAGGAAGTGATGGCCTCTTGTAAGTGCTAATGGTGACCAGAGGAATAGTTTTAGTAAGAATCCTTAGTTCCCACACTGCCGAATCATCTTTTAAAGATCTAATTATCAAAAATAATCTACTGGCACCTTTTTTGGAGCTGCAGACGACCTAACGAGCTACTGGCAGGCTCCAGATTAAATCAGAGAAGGAACGAGATAGTTTTTGGTAAATTATAGTCTGACACTCTCTCGCCTCACACAAGGTGTGAGAAGGCATTAAATAATTATCTCTCTCAAAAAAAAGTCCTATCACCATTTGTCCCCTTTACCCTTTATTCACAATACGTTCCCCATGAATCCGTTCCCAGAACCCTAGCCAAAGTCTAGTCTAGTCTATAAACAGTAAATTAATTACACGATCAATACTAAACCGATTAGTTACACATCGTGGATGGTACGCTGTATTGGCCGATTACTGATTAAATTACCCTTTAATAAAAATTGTTGTGGCTTATCCCATTAAAAAAATCGTAAATAATTTAAAAAAGTTACTAGAACTATTACGTAATCATTTGTAGCTATTGTCGGAGGAGTTATTCGGTTGTTTCAAACAAACTTAACCGATTTTACTGTCCTTTCGACGCATCATGTTACAGGTTATGGAAAAAAAACATTAATAGATGCGTATTTATGTTTTTTTCAATTAATTTACTGGATTCAGGCAAAAAATGCCCATATTAAAATATGGAATGAAGTATAATTCCAGTTGAAATTCGAAAATCGAACTCTAATCTATCTAGAGGTATATAAATAAAAATGAATTCCCGTTCGTTAATCTCGCTAAAACTGGCGAACGGCTGAACCGATTTGACTAATTTTGGTCTTGAAATGTTCGTAGAAGACGACGGAAGGTTTAAAAGGTGAGAAAAAATGTTTCAGGCGGTACGAAGTTGGCCGGGTCAGCTAGTATTTAGCTAAAAATATGCTGGGAAATCGTACTTGCGTCATAGTTTTAATTTTGTTCTTGGTATTTCATTACAGGCAACTCGATTATAACAATTTTGTCTTGAAATTCTAAATCCAATCTAACTTTACAAAGCGTCCTTGGCATCTTCACAATAAATAAATTATTATTTTCAATACCAACTTCAAAATAATTGAATTATAATAATAAAGGATTGATGAATGATTTCAGATTGTTATTCGCTTTCTGTCTGAAGGGTGGGGACTTAGTAGGTTGGGTAGTGTACGGCCCTCAACACTCGCCGACAATTTCATTAGATTGAGACGCGCCGGCATTCTTGTCGCAGGAATCTTTCGTACATTCGCACACAATCGTATTACGAATGAGGAATTAAATTAATTGTCTTGGTCTCTATTTACCTATTTATCGTTATTAATCAAATGTTGGAAGAACGAAACAAGAAGACTGCCTCGGTGGCCGAGTGGTCGCAAGTGCGACTGCTGGGCAAGGGGTCTCGGGTTCGATTCCCGGATCGGGCAAAAGTATTACTGGGTTTTTAAAATAAATCTCAGTAGTAGTAGCATGGAATCTGGAATTGTGCCGCGCATATAGCAATAGGCTCACCTCTTATTACATGGGACTCATAACATAAATAGTGAAAAGTGGGTGTTACATTGTACAGTGGCACTAAGTGCCGTAATGTGCATATCTGCCTACTCCTTCGGGGATAAAAGGCATGATGATGTTATGGTGGAAAATAAGTGAAAATAAAGATCTTTTTGATTAACTTCAAAAGTAAGAAGTCTTCATTTCGTTTTTATAGTTAAGATTTTTTATGCTTCTGATAAATTACATAAATAAAAGCGGTCGAAATAAGACTCTTTTCCAAAAGCAAATACTCAGACTAGATCGCCCAGGA